AAAAAAAAAGAATCACCATCCCTGCTTTTTCTGGGTTCCTATCTTATCAAGTATTGTTTTCCATCCTTTGACTTCTAGACTATGCATTTCTTTAAGAGCTAAATATGTTTCTTATATGCAGCATATTGCTGAATCTTCTTTCTTGATCAGTTCTACCAGTGTTTTGTTTCATTGTTGAACTGAGATTATTTACACTGATGTTTATAACTGATATGTATTGGTTCATTGGCTCATTGTCTTGTGTTTTTTCCTGTTGTTGGTTCCCTTTATTTCCATTCTGTTTAATTGCTTGCCTTGCCTGGTGGATTATTTTATTTATTTTTTTTCCTGATAGATTCTTTCCATGAGTGTTCTTGGAATTCTAGTCTTTGTTACGGTTCTTAAAAATCCTTCAGAATGTTTTAGAGAGCTGGTTTTGTGGTCATGAATTTCTTTAGTTGTTCTTTGTCATGGATCTTATTTCTCTGTTGATTTTGAAAGATAGTTAGTTTTGTAGGGTTGGAGAGCATTTTCTTTCAGATCTTGAAATAATTCACTCCAAACTCTCCTTCACTTAACCAGTGTTTTGTTTCACAGTCTGCTGCGATTTTGATGGGCTTTCCTTTATAGGTGATTTGTTTCTTTTCTCCAAGAGCTTTTAATATTCTGTTCTTGTGCTGAATGTCTGAAATCTTGATTTTTCTCAGATAATGTAATTCTTCTACTCAATAACAAGTCTCCAGAAATAGCAATTTTACTTTTACTGTCCAGAGGAACTTCAAGCCAGATATTAGGGAAGGAATTTGCTGTAAATATTCTCATTTTGTGTGAATATCTACAGCAGTCTTTTATTCTAAAGAATCAGAAAGCTTCTGGTGATTGGCAAACAGGAAGAAACAAACAGGAAGAAAGAGGGTACAAGAGAATATCCATGTTCAGTGACATATATTGCATACAATTTCTTTCCTTCCTTCCTTCTTTCTTCCTGTCTTTCTTTTTCTCCTTCTGTTTTTTTCAGTGTATTTGGTTGTTGCAGTGTCTCACTATCCAGCTCACATGGTGATCCTCCTGCTTTCAGCTTCCCAGCACTGGGATTACAGGTGTGTGTCTCAGTCTGCCCTGAGGTTGGGGCTGGTGTGGCATATGGTGCCAGGCATCCAACCACAGCTCCTGTGCTTGCCTAAGTTTGCCTAAGCAGGTCCTTTAGTCTGCTGAGCTCTTGCTGGCCCGCTCTTTCTTTCTTTCTTTCTGTCTGTCTGTCTGTCTGTCTTTCTTTCTTTTTTTTCTTTCCTTCTTTCCTCCTTTCAGGTTGGCCTTGAATTCATTTTGTAGCATAGGCTTGCCTTGAACTCAGGGATTCTCCTGTCTTAGCCTCTTGAGGGTTGGGATTGCACACAATTTCTAAAAGCTCCCAAATGAGAATTTTATGACAGCTGAAAAAGGTAAAGCTAAAAAGTCATTTGTACCTTACCATAAATTGTCTTAATCACATAACTACCTTTGTTATAGAGCTGAAGGATTACATTTTTTGGTTCAGTAAAAAGAATTGAGATAGGAACATGTTTAAGTCGGAGCAGGGGGCTGGCAAGCGCAAAGAGCTGGGTTCAATCCCCAGTACTGCATGATGTGCCAGCCACTGAAACACCAGCATGGTGGGGCACACCTGCAATCCCAGTGCTGGGGAGGCTGACACAGGAGGATCACTACGAGTCTCAGCTGCATAGTGAGATACTGCACCAAATAAGTAAACAAATAAATAAGATTTTTTTTGAACACTAAAATAAAAGAAAGCTTGAGTAGGACACCAATTTTGGACAGGTGTCCAAAAATACATATATCTGGAGGACCTTAAAAGTGAGGGAAACAGAGTGCAGGAGACAGAAGTCGCAAAGTTATAAAGCTATTTAGTCAAATATCATTTCATTTTTATACTTGGTTGCCAAGAAAATGTCATCGATAAAGATGACAGGCCACCATCAATATGACTCCACTGTGGCCGTAAGGCCAGGCCATCTCTCTGTATGTCACTTTGTAAAAGTTCAGAGCACTGAGTGAACAGAGGGCTGACTAACAGGCTGAGAGCAGACTGTCACCTCAAGCCCTTCTGTTTCTCGGATGGTTTCTCCATATGTTAATATTTTATAAGCATTTTCATTATTCAGTTACTTAAACTACTCCACTGCTAGTCACTATTGTCAACTGATATCAAAGGTCAGCAGTGACTTCTCAGATGTCAAATGCAATCAGAATGAATATTTAAACTTTATTTTATTTTTCTGTTTCATCTTACATGTTTGGCTATGGCTTCTCCTTGCTCTTTTCTCTCCTAAATGTGGATCGCAGCATGCTCAGCTTCTTGCTCTTTCCAGTTTCTCTCTGCAAGTGATCTTACATAGTCTCCTAATTCTACTTACCATATCCTAAATTCAGAATTACAGAAACTTTAAAAAAAAAAAAAAAGAATTTCAGAAACTTTATCTTTCCTGAAACCTTCCAATAACTTTTGATATTGTTATCCAAATGACCAATAAAGATGTTCACTTGTCACAAAGCCACCATAAACTCAGCATGCACTCACGCTCTTCCTTTCAGAATCCCTGAAGTATATGGTGGCTCTGTCCTCACTCAAGCCCTCCTCCCATTCTTTGCATCCTTGATCCTTAACTTCTCTCACTGGGTCCCATGATGCTACCCTCTTCAATATAGTAATAGTTATCTCAGTCCAGGATTGCATAATCCTTCCTTTAAATCATGGCAGTTGCCTTCCACCACTCTCCTGGATCCAGTTGCAAATCCCCCTCCCTCTTTAAATGCACAATGAAAAAAGTATCCGCTCACATTATTGCACAAATGACTTTCTAAACTGGAAGTTTGATAATATTATAGTAAGTATTAGAATTCTTGAGTAATTCATGATCAAAAACTAAAGGTGAAGTTTCTCACCACAGCACCTAAAATCCTTTCCGACTACTCCCTGGCCTACCTGACTCTCAGATTTTACCTTACACTGTTTTCCACACCACCACTCCTATGCCATGCATGTGACTCAACAGATGGAGGTCTCACATGGTATTAACCTTTTAATCTGCAACCTTCCTAGAACACTTGGAGCTCTCTGAAGACAGAAACAATGTCTTACTTATACCTGTGTGCCTTCATCATCTCAAACCAAGAGAAATGCAATGAATGTTGGCAAATGATTGATCATGCCTTGAAAATAAACATCTTTTCCAAACCATTTTCCCATGTTTATTTAAAAATATCTTTCTAGGAAAACTATGACTTTCAACACATTTTTTTAGCCACTAAGGTATGTTTCTCAGTTACTGGTACATCTTTCCTGACAGAATAATACAGAGGAACCAGACAGATTTCTAAGTTAAGAACAACTTTGCACTGAACAAATAGCTCTCATATATTACAAGAGCATTTTTAGGTTTCTATTATGTATACTATATTTGATGGACTGACTAAAGGACACAGTGTACATACCTTCGACACAGCGACAGCCCTCTTGTAGCACCCGGGCATACATATCCACTCTGGACTGAGAAAGAAGCTGATCCCCAGTCAAGTACGTGTTGTGAGAGGAAGCAATGTAGTAGTTGCAGAGGGGCTGATCCATGTCCTGATAGACTTCATGGTGCAGGGGATTAAATATGTCACAAGCAGGACTACGCATGAAATTTGTGAAGCCTTTGGAAGAATGTGAGAATTAAGTGCTATAATTCTCAAAGGATATCTACTTAATTGACACTAGTAGAGAAAAAGAAGTCAAAGAATATTCATAGTAGTCATTAGTGCAGTTTTGTGGGCAAAACTGGGATGATGAAATATTTGCTTGAAATCTTAGAGAATATCAAAAAACTGAAATATGACTTTGGGGCAGTGGCCATTTAAACACCATCTAGAGAAAAAGAAAATGACCTTTTATGAATTTTGACTGAATTTTAAATCAACAAGTATAAGCTAACTTAGGACTTTTACTGGATAACCGATACTGTATTTCTAATGATAGAAGACTGTAATTATTTTTCTGTTTCTATTTCCTTCCACCCCTGGACATAAGCACAAGGTATTAGAATCCCTTACTTATCCAGTGCTTAGTTGAAGCACTGTGGGACCAACCTGGGCAATACAGTCACACCCTACCTCTTAAAAAAACAAAAATGAAAAATCCTTGTTTACCTATGCTTGGGGACAGGGGGGTAAAATAGGAGGCAAACAATCAAAATGTTTAGATCAACCATATCTTTAGATGTTTGGGGGCAGCTGAGTTCTCCAGTAATCTTTGATTTAAAATTATCTGCACTGCTTGGGACAGCCTCTTCTTGGGTTGCAGCCTGTAATTTATCCCCCTACATATTTTAAATGCACCATATACAACTTATGCTTACATATAGCAATATTTATGCCATGATTTATGAATAAACTGATAGGAACAAAATTTTGAATGCATAACTGTGGGTAAATTACTTATTTGCTTCCAGCCTCACTTTCCTCAACTATAAAACGAGATAGTTGTCTTAAGATTTGTGGTTCCAACAGCTTCTATAATGCTACTGATTTTTTAGGGAAAAACAAGTCAGTTGTTAGCATTTTATAAACAAATATGCTTATGTTCAAATCACTAAATTTGCAGATTACTTATTTTAGGGTCCAATTTCTCTTCATAAAAATATCAGGATGAGACTATTTCCAAAATTTAGCGATTTCAGAAAAGCCCAAGTGTTTCTGGATATCGATCATACATAGTGATCACACACTGTTGGAAGCGAAAAATGTTCACAGGCATTGCAAAAGCAAGAGAGGTCAGTGTCGGGGCACTGCTTTGAGCAAAAGTGGCATGCCCTGTGGGTTTTATTTCAATTGACTCTTTTTCCATGAATATCTTCTGATTTTTAAAAAATTTTACTCGAATTAAACTCAGCAGACTAAATTCAAAAATGAGAAATAAAACTATTGGTTAAAAAATGGCTATTTTACCTTCTATTCCAAGGACATTTTTCACCTTATTTTCTTCTGAAACTTCAAACTTCTTTATGACGTCAAGGCAATAGTCTGTTGTCACATTAGTCATCTAAGCAAAGCAGAACATGAGAAGAGCACCTGTAATTGCATGCGACATGTTCTTCTGTGCAATAAAGGCATGCAGTGATTTTTAAGCATTCTTGGTACAGTACAAAGTGCTTAAATGAGTATTTTGAGGTTATTAGTGTCCGGTTTTTTTAATCTTTAGAGAATCATTATGATTTCAATCTTCCTATACATCTTTCAGATGCAGTCTCTGAGCATTCCACTATGGTGATTCAGGAACACAAAAGTTAGCAAAAGAAATACAAATAAAAAGCAAATGAAGCATCTAGTGTAACAAAGAACTCTGGGGCTAATATTTTTTTTGTGTTTGAATCAGCCAGCTCATTGTTTTTGTTGTTGTTGATGTTAACAAAGTGTACCCGCTCTATAGCTACCTGATGAAGTAGTGATGAGGATTAAGTGAATTAATACCTAAGGAACACACTATAGCACTATAAAGGCAAGATACATTACTATTATTAACAAGGTCAAGGTCAAGATCACTGTGTAAACATTACATGCTTGGCATCACTGGAAAAAGTAAGCTCTGCAGGAATAACTCTTTAAAATAGCAACATAGGGCCGGCCAGATAGCTCAGCAAACTAAAGCACCTGCTTAGGCAGAGCACATTGACCTGGGTTCAATCCCCAGAGTGTCGTGCCAGCCCTACCCCCGGGGCACTCTGACATGACAATTGAGACTGGGCATGGTGCCGTGCACCTGTAATCCCAGCGTTTGAGAGGCTGAAAACAGGAGGATCACTACGGGTCATATCTATGTAGTGAGACCCTCTAAACCCTGTAACAATTACATTTAAAAAAAAAAAGCAACATAAAGAATGTGGTATTTTAGGGGCAGCAGATGGAGCTCAGCAATAGAGCACTTGCTTAGTGTGCACCAGGACCTGAATGTGATCACCATCAGATAGATAGATACTAAATTAAAAGTTCATCCTGCCTCACAATATAACACTGACATTTAAAAATACTAACAATCAAGATTGGGGAAGCTAATTTTCTGAGCTGGTATTTCATGTTTCAATTATATTTCTCAAAGACTCCATTATCTCTTAAGTTCAACATTGATATTTTAGTGAAATATAACTTTTGTAGTCAGTCTATTTAATAATATTTAAACTACATGCAAGGGGAAAAGCTACCACGGCTGGGCTTCGCTGATGTAAGAGTGTAACATGTTTCTTTTCCTAAACTAGTTGTACAATAGCTGATATATCTTTTGAATAAAATTTGTAATCTTTACCACCTTTTGAGACACTATCCCCAAAAAAACATAAATAAATGAAATCTGTAATAGCTCCAAGGAACTCTACTAACCCAGGCAACGTGTGAGCAGCTCATTAACTTGTCTGCTATACATTAGAGAGATTCAGCACACATAATCCAAAAAAATTTCTCACAAAATAAAAACACCTAAACTGATGACTTTCTCTGCCACAGGGATACCTAGGTGCACTTTGCAGATGTTCAGCGTATAGGGTCATTGTCCAGAGATGTTAGGGCCATAAATTTGGCTTACACTGAAAATAAGAAGCCCATGAGATCTCAAACAATGAACACAACCAAACACATGGTCATACAGCGATAAAGACAACTGCAGGTAGGTAAGCAAAGAATTTATTAGTAACTCAAGGTGTAAAGCAGAATTTGATAAAAAAAAATTTTTTTTAATTCCATTGAGTTAGTAAGGATATAAGTATCCACTCCGCAAAGCCCACAAATTTCTAGACAATCTGTAAGAATGGATGGAAAACAAATAATCTACTCCCTACCAAAAAGCTTGACTTTAATGAAATAAAATAAAACCCCTAAATAATAAGAACTGAAATGTAACAGTCCATCAGCACCCATCTTTCTCAATTCATTAGTGGTACAAATAGCAAAATCTTACATTTACTCACTTAAATTTTTAGACTTTACTTAGGCTATCGCTATAAGTTTACTGTGAGAACAAAGGTTCAACAGAAGTTACTGATTTTCGTTGCCCTTTCTACTTTGCTTTACTTCCTCTTAGACATAAACTGATAGGGTAAATTCCTGTGGCACTCATTTGAAAGTTTCATTTGCTGTTTGATATCTGCACCATTGTCACTTTCATTACTGAGGATTATTCATTGTACACCAGGAAATTAGTGTTATAAGAACCTAAAGTAGCGGTTACCCTGAGCCGGCGGGGCCTACTGGCCCCAGTCCAGGCTCAGCGTGGGTGAGACCTCTTCCACCCTCTTGGGACGGCCCCAACCACTCCGCAGCACCTCCCCTACCCCGCCACTGAGTAGGAATTTCCACCACCTTCAGGGAACCCCCAGACCAAGTCCTAGCCCAGGCCCGGTGAGTGTGTGTGAGAGCTTCTGGCTACCCTGCGCCAGTGGGACCTACTGGTCTCAGCCCAGGCACAGTGTGGGTGAGACGCTCTTGCACCCCCTGGGGACACCCCAGACCACTCCACAGCACCGACCTTACCCCGCCCGCTGAGTAGCAATTTCTGCCATGTTCCAGGAACCCCCAGACCCAGTCCGAGCCCAGGCCCAGTGAGTGTGTGGGAGAACTGCCTCTCCCCCCTACTCCAACTTCTCCCCTCCAGACTCAGCTCAGGCCTGGCATACAGGCATGGGTGAAACTCTGCAGCTGCAATCCCTGCAGAGAGTGTAGAGGACAGAACCACCTAGCTAGTCCAGGAGCAGAACATCTTGCCAGAGGGGCACAACAGATTCATCCCCAAGGGCAGCAGCAGGAAATAGCTGAGCACAGAAGCCCTACACAAGCCAGGCACAGCTGGATACATCAAAACTTTGTAGATCTGCACCTCAACTTTAGTAGGTGATAAAGTTATAACTGCAACAAATATTTACAACAAAGGTCAGAAGACGGTGCTACACAAAATGACAAGAAGGAAAAAAACACAATCTCAGAACCCAAGCCCACCCATAACAAGTGCAGAGGACACTAACACAGAACAAATTGGGAATCACACAGCTGAAAGCAATGAATCAATGGATTCTGAAATAAAGAAACAGCTGAAGAAAGGTATAGAGGAACTCAGATTGGAGATAAAAAAAGGAATCCCTGAATTAATAACATCTGCAGTAAGAATCAAATGCAGAAACATATGGAGGAAACCCAATGCCCACCCAGAACAAGTGCAGAGGACACTAGCTCAGCTCAAATGCATCAATTAATAGCGTTGATAGTAAATAAGCAACAGCAGAAAGGTATAGAGGAACTCAGAGCGCAACTATTTTCTGAAATAAAAA